TATTTGACGTTTGCAGATATATGACCGTAAAGGCAGCCCCTAGAAAGTCTAGTCTAGGAATAATCATAGTGGTGATACAAGTACCACCATCAGATAGTCTGATTTCTTACTGCTGGTTCAGATGGCAATTCAAGTTGACAAAAAAAAAAAAAAGCAAACAATAGAAAAATAAAATGATATTTTCTAAAGCTCTGCCCAGACTATCAAGTTTTATTTGACAAGCACATGTGGCATGCCTAATATGCCTAAATATGGCACATCATGACTAAATATGGGCATTACAATACTTTATCTTTGTCAAATCTTCTTTGAATTTCCTCGGCATATTTCTACAACCTGCCGCTCAACAATCCATTTGCAGTTCCCCATCTATTGATACTTCCAAAAAGCTTGTTCACTTTGTTTTGTCCTCACGTCTTGACAATTGTAATGCACTTCTCTATGGCTTGTCACATAAACATCTTCATCACCTTCAGCTTGTCCAGAACACAGCTGCAAGAATTGTTACATTCACCAAGAAGCGAGAACCTGTATAAGCCCTGTTCGTAAAAAAAACTACATTGGCTTAAAATCAAGCAACGCATATTTTTTAAGATATTGCTTATAACATATAAGGCTCTCAGTGGTCTTGCCACTGCACCCCCTCCCCACAAAAAAAAAAAAATAACAATAATATTCTCCAATATAAATCTACTCCTCTCATCTATAAAAAAAAAAACAAAAAAAACTTTTATTGTTAATTAACAGGAGTAGGTATAGTGCACTTTGAGTAATGACATTGTCATATCACCTTTTAACATTGCATTCTGCCATGGATATTGGCGTTGTATAAATCCTTGTTGATTGATTGATTGATTGAAATTAAATTTGGTAGTCTGGACAGAGCTTTCGCGTGATGGCTTTTTTTTTTACTGAACTTCTTCTTCTGCTTCTACCAACAGTTTTAGTTTTATACTAAAGTGAATATATTTTGTAGAATCATTGGAGTTCTGACTTGTTGTTCATTGTTCTATGATACTTGTTAGAGTTATCATGGAGAAAATATATTTTCCCCATGGTGTTATTAACCGTACAGCTTCAATCTACCTGTTATTTACTACTCGTATTTGTGAAACTGTCAGAAGACATTTGCAACATGGGTTTACATATTGAATGTGGATTATTGTAGGTGGAGTTATGCTTCAAATTATATTCTGTCTAGCAAGTCTGTATAGAAAGCTCTTTCTAGTTCGAATGTATGTACTTGTGTTCGGCAGTAGATTCTGTTTTTTGGCTTCATATCGTTGTTCGGTATGGTCCTGTGTTTCTGACGGTCCAGAAGCACTGATTGTTTAGATTTGAGTCGTAAGTAAATACAATGATATGTTAATTCTTAGTATCGTGGCTAAGTCAGAACCTGACTATGTAAACCTTTTTGCAAAATTATTTCTGTATTTATTGATAAAGATTATAGATGCTGGAAATTGTGTTTATCCACTTTTTTTGTTAGTACTTATGATCATCATGTTTATTTTGTTATTCTATGAATAAAAAATTCTAAATAAAAGATGAAATGAAATGAAATTATTATATAATTGATACGCATATCGTTTCTTATTGTAGATGGACAACCTTGTTACTATGAGGACGAATGGTACAGGGATGGACAAATGGAACTATAT